AACTATAATATTTTATTGTTTTCGTTGTTACAAGAATCTTTTTTTTTTAATTATTTAATTGTTCAAATATTAGAATACGTAAGTATAGAAGTCACAAGAAAAATAATTTTTATTAATTTTACTATATTAAAAACTTCTTATTTATTTTTTATATGTATGATTATTATTATTTAAAATAATACTTTTCTTTATTTACATAATTTGTGAGTAAACTACGTACCTGCGATTTATTCAACAATAGCGATTTAACGTCGATTTTTATAATAACATGGTGAGTGTAATATCTAAGAATTTCATTAAATGTCTATATTTCGATATGAAATGTTATTAATGCAAAAAATATTTATATTATAATATTTTAAGAAACACGAAACAATTACATTTGATACAACTAATTACTAATACTAAAATTAGAAATAAAAGATATGTAATGAGCATTGAAAGAATACATAACACATAATGCACATTTATTGCTTTAACAAAGTAAGCATAATCGATACATTCATAGTGTATCATTGATAAGTAAATGAAAGTCAGAATGTTATTCACATTTATTATATGCACTGCACATTACATACTAAGCATTATAGTTTTCTTCAAAATAGATTTATATTATTAGCTATAAGTTAAATTAATATAATAATAAAGATGTCGTAAATTTATTAATTCACACTTCATTTATCTTTTAATATTCACTATATTATATTATATTTTAACGTTGTTCAAAATAATAATAAATATATTTAATATATAATATTTATAAACTCACTGTAAATTAACATAATTCATATAACAAATAATAATATTTACATGAAAATTAAGAAAAATGTTTTAAAAAGATATAAATATTAATATTAATATTATTAGTATTAGTATATTGATCATTGTTGTAAATTTGAATATTATAAATATACTTATAATAGCACTTATTATAAATATCGATTTATGTATGTCACAGAAATATTTATCATTTCTTTCTTTCTATAATATTTAAATATTATATGAAACGAAATCGATCGTTATTATTATCTATTATTTGAATTTTTATCGAAGATAATCTTAATTTGATTTATTTAATTGCAGATTTTATTAAAAATAATCGATTATGAAGTATCAACAGATCACCGTCGATTTTGTAAATATGGTGTTCACTGCTTGTTCCTATTTGGCTCTTGCTGGAGCTGTTTGGATATTTTTACGACTTATCCAAGCATGCTTTTGGTTACCGCGTCATTTAAAAAGACAAAATCATGTCCAACGAATGCTACAAGATAAGGTTTTTATGCATTTTCTATTCGTTTCTTTAAATTCTTTTAGTAAATAAATATATGATAATACATTACATCTTATTGATGTAAAGATTCATTGATGAAGATATGCTATATATATTATTTTTTTATAACAAATTATATCTTTTTCTTAAGGTTTTATAAAATCAGTTCTACATATCTTTTTTTTCCTTTTTGATCAGTGTATAATACAAAATGATAATCGGTTCTGAAAAATCGATAATCAAATGAAACTAAAGTTTGAATATTGAATGCATGATTTATTAATTTGAATATTTATAATATTTCGATCTCCATAAAATAATTATTTGTATTTGTTTTTTTAAATATTTATTCGTCAAAAAGTCCAAATTCTAGTCATGTTATCCTGACAATCGTTATTTTCAATGGCGCTCAATTTGAATGTAATACTTTGAAATGTTCAAGAAGGATAGTTAGTTATGATAGTTGTTATGAAAATACATTACAATAGTTATAATAGATTAATCATCATATTTGGTATTTATCTAGACTTACATAACAAGCTTAAATATGCGAAATAAAATTTAAAACAATTTTTGAGTAATAAAAATCGTAATTTCAATCGTTCAAGGATTATTTTATATTTTATTTTCATTTCACAAGGAAGAAGAAAGTGAAATGCCAAAATTTATTGTACATTGGAATGAGAATTCAAATCTATTCAAGAGCAACTATTTTTTGATGGATTATATAATACATTTTGGATATCGGTTATTATAATGTGTTTTGTAAAAAATATAAATAGATATATATAAATTCAATGCAATAATAGCAATAAATTTTTTTTAATATCTTGAAAATTAAAAGAATTCTATATTTTCGTGAAAGGGAAAAGTTCTTCAAAAAAAATACAATATAGTTCAAAAGTCATTAAAATTAATAAAGAGGAAGTAATTGGAATTTGAAAGGATTAAATTTTTTATAAAATTTTTAACGATGACAGTTAAGTTATTTATATATTTGTGATTTTTATCCAGTTGATCAATTTCAAGCTCTCTATATTATTTGAAATATAGATACACAGAAGTGTTCTAAAGCGTTTCCTTTCTTTAAAGCAGTAGGAAAATGTTTTTCAATCTCTTTGATCTGACATTGATTAATTGTATATATAAGAAGTTTATGTTCATGTTTTTTGTATAGAATAATCGTTTTCTTTTCATCACACAAAACTTGATTAAAAAGTGATATTTTAATTCGAATGATTACAAACGAATCTATTTTGCGATTTTTACTTATTTATAAGATTATTACAAAACATATATAAACAAACTGTTAATATAAATATGAAATTCGTATATTTTTGAAAGGTCGATTCTAAAAGTAAAAATAAACACAAAAGTTGGTATACAAAAATGTCAGCAGAGATTTATTTATTTAAGATTAAATAAAGCAAGATGGAGAATGAGGCAATGATGTTAGTTAATAGAGATTTCATTTTAATAATATTAAAATTAAATTACTTGTAATTGAATAAATATCTTAACCAACATTTTTGTGTTTATTTTTTGTTTGTCTATATTTATGTAGATATATTTTCTGAAAATTTTTTTCAGAACACTTTTTTTTTAAGAATATGATTATAAACTTTTGTGTAGATGGAGAACTATGAGAAGTACATATTAGAATGTGAAAAAAGGGAAAAGATTGAACAGGAAATGCAAGGCGGAGATGCCAAACCAAATCCTGAACAAGCTGAGAAATGGAAGGAACGAAGGGAATGTTTGGAAATGTTGAAGAGAGAATTAAGTAAGATTCGAGATGGTGGTGATGACTCGCAAGACTGGGACTATCTTTTAGAAGAAGAAGAAACAAAAGAGGAAAAAGCTAGTATCACAGAAATTCAAGATGATAAAATTTCTAAAGATGAACATAATGACAAATTAAACACAAACACAAACACTAATTCAATAATCAACTCAGAAAATAAAAAAGACAAATAATTACATTTTATACCATTTCTGTAAAGACGTAACAAATAGATGAGGTTTAAAACCTTTTAGATCTATAAAAAAAAAAAAAAAANAAAAAAAAAATAAATTAGAGAATTCAAAGTATTTAAGAAATATGCGAAATAGGTATTAATGATTATATTTTAATCGACTAGTGAAATACAAACAGAGAAAGTATTAATGTCATTTCTAACATATCTAATTATTCGATAATAATGATTAATATATTTCATACATGTATGAGGCACTTATGAGGCACAATGATTTAATAATTAATCTTAAGTATTTGATTATACATTTAATTATCGTTACTAAGATATCAGAATAATTTAATGCATTTTACTGATAAATGAAAAGTATAGCAAAATTATTCATTATTATAAAAATATGATTAAAAATGATCAATTTTAAAGAAATGAAATTAATATATTTAAAAAAATTATAAATTATTAAAATGACTAAATGATTACGATATTACACGAGGAGAATAATTATAATATTTTTATATTGAATTTTTATTAAATATTACATAAAGTATTTAAGCTTTATATAACAGTATTTAAACTTTCGAATAAAAACATTCTAAATTGAATATCAACGTACAATTTAATGAAATTTGTAATGCAATTAACGCACGATATTTTTTAAATAGATGTATTTTAAAAATGTTGTATTTATTCTTTAAAATTTATACATATATAATATTATATCTATATATCTTTGAATTAAATATTTATTAAAAGCAAAATATTATATAATAATATCAATTTCAAAATTTTATACATTATATAAACAGCCATTTTTTTGAACAACAATTATAATTTGAAAATAATATATATGGTGAAAAAAAATTATTTACGCATCAATTAATTTACATAAATTATTGTAGAGTATTGTAATATTTATCGTTAAAAATTTTACAAATTGTTTGCTAAATAAATACATCTGAATTTTTTATTTTTTTGATTATTGAAATTTCTTATTTAAAGATAAAATTTAACTAGAATTTTTATCGATTTATTTTCATAAGTATTTTTAGATAACAGACATGAACAAATGCAACAACTATATCTAGATGTTCCAATTACGGTATCTTAGAAGGCAGGTGCAAGGTACTGACTAGAGATACATATGTAACTTGAAAGTCAAGGCTACGCTTGAAGGACAAACTTAAAAAGGAGCTACATTTGCTGGCGCACATCCAACTGGAGCAACGATTATTTTCTTTGCCTGTGAACGGTGGAGGTCGCTGCGCCATTCTAAACATGTAATTACATATATGTTGTATCTAATCTCACTGAAATATACGTATCACTTTTCTTTCGGTAACAATCAATTTTTTTTTAAACATTAATTTTAATGAATTTCTAATTAACTTGAGAGAGATTAACTTATATTGTTGAGAGATAGTATATGTATTTAATTCATTAAAAATAATTACAAATATATTCGTATATATTATAAATATTATATATATTTGTAATTATGTACATGTAAATATACATTATTTTATTTTTGTTACAAAATTAAACAAAAAAAATCAATTTTATAATACGAATAAAATATATAATATAGTTATTAAATTAAATTGATATTAATTATTAATCAATCTTTTATATGAAAATATTTTTTCACATGATCATGCAACTAATCTATGAATCGATCACCAATGATATTACGAGTTTTGGTTATTTGAGCACAAGGTGGTGCCACCGGCGTATATTTGTACACAATCAGTCAGTTTAGTGGCGGGAGGGCGCTACTTGCGATCGAGTGTACAAGGGGTTTGTGAACGAAATTGGCCCTCTTCGTGGACTCGGCGAATTACTTTTCTATTGTATAACGCGAGGGACAATACGCGGAAAGTGATTCGTGCATCAATTACAAATTCGACAACAATGTCGTTAAGAAAACGACGTTCTGCATTTATTTAAATATCGTCGATGTACACTCTCGTCGCTGACCTGGAGACCGGCGACAGAAGCCATGCCGCAGCACAACCCCTTTCAAAAGAGGTTGATGACAATGACAGCGACGAAACGTCATCGTCTTGTCAGCTAGGGAACGCCGATAGCAAGTAAGTAAGTAGATGAACCTTACATTTTTCGCCGTGTTTCATTTTTCAGTTTTATTTCATCTATCTAGACAATTTCATGATCGATAACATTTTCCCACCTGAATATATCTGTATATCATCGCGCGCATTTTTTGACTTTTTGAACGTTCAAAATAGTTTCGTTGAAATCAAGTGCTAATCAGTAATGAAAATGAATATACACGCTAAATGTGATTGTGTGGTTGATTCAAGTGATCAGTGTGTGCTAATAATTGCAGAAAATCGATTATGTATTGTGTAAAGCGATTGTCTAAAACAATGGTATTGATGCGGCAATTGGTGCGATAAAGAGAATAGGATTAGAATAATTGAGAGAGATTCGGTAGTGACGTGTGTATATATATATATGTGTATATATATATATATATATATATATTTCTTGTGTAATTGTCGTGGTGCTCAATATGTGGATCAACTTGGTTTTCATGTGCACTATCGCTTGGTTGAATCGTTGATCTACTAGGCATGCCACGGAATTATTCTCAACGAAGGATTGTACAGTTGAAATATTGTTTCGCGAGCAAGTGCGACAAATCTTTTGTTACTGCTGCCAGGTGATTGAAACGAACAGAAGTCACTGACCGATGAACTTTGACCGAATGTGACGTCATTGATTGTAGCCTCTATCCAAGGAATTTATTTTTGTGCCACTGTATAGGTGCGTCATATCTGAAGTATCTATAGCCTTTAATCTGCACGTTACATTGTTATACCTATTACGTCAAATATATATATATATTTGCGTTTCCCTAATGAAATAGGAATGATTGAATGAGTCTATATTGTGAATCAGTGTCGTTATCAGTTCATATTGATTTATCTTCTAATTTTAATTAGATATATAATACGGGTAGTAGATATATAATTGTTTGAATCATTAAATATGGAGTTCAATCAAACTTTAATATTTAGAACAAATAAAAACTGTTAAGTTAAAAATAAAACTGTTAAGATAAAAATAACTTACCGATAAGATATTGAAATATAAAAATAATAATAATTTCATAACGGAAATTAAAATATTTTTCTATTTGTATTATGTTTTAAACAATTTAAAATTTTTAATATTTATGGTAAAAATAATAATAATATCTTAGTAGTAATATCTAACATATTAAATGTATTAAGAATATATATATACAATTACGATTAAATTAATTAAATATTAAAATATAAATTCGCAAACAAATAATTCTTCATCTAATGATACATAATAAATTATATTATAATTTTTAAAATGTTATAAACATGAAAGTAAATGATTAAAAGCATGATGAAAACAATTAAAAGAAATGTAATTTAAATATACATAATTTTAACATAATTTAATTTATTTTAAAAATCTAATTTAATTATTCGAAACACGCTAAATCTCGAAGCGAAATGTTTCGAAGTAATGTTTCGATCAAATGTATGTTTTCACAGACCATTTTGCGTGGCATACTTGTTATCAGTTAGTAGTAAGAAATTTACGAGCGAATCTAAAACGCGAAATTCAATGGAAAATAAAAATAATCGAAGTTGCCTCGCTATGTTTGAAAAATCATTAAAGAGTAACATATTACATCGATTTCGCGGTGAGACAAGTAATAATTTAATGTATACATAGAGCGTGACGTCAGAAGTTATTTGGATCTGAAAGTGCAACAGTTTTCAGTATGTTGCACATGAATTTGTTGGCGGATTACGTTTCCAAGCCGTAAAACTCATTTTATGTTGGGCATCGGAATAAAAACAGTGGAGGGGCGGGTCTTTGTATCGCAACGACAGCCTCCTATATGTACTTACTTGTGTACGTATAATTTCCTCGAAGCGTGTTCATCACGTAACCACGTATCTCATTCATGGCGTTCCAACGCGTCTATCGGTTTCTCGTGTGGAAAACCGAATATATATGTATCACGCAGCTCCATTCTATCGATCTGCCAGCAACCAGGAGTACTTCTCCCTTCCTCTGTTCCCCTCTTGTCTTGCTCCTTCTTCATCTTGCTCCTTCTTCATCTTGCTCCTCGTTAACTTTCGGTGTCTTTCTTCGTTTTCTTTATTCGATCATTCGTTTGTCATTCATCCAAGCGTTCTCTCTTTGTATCATCTTTTTTTTTTTTAATTCATTTATCCACTTTCTCTAGTTTCTCCTTTTTATCTAATTACTTATCTCTTCTCGACCGTCGATCTATTTTTATCTCGCCGTTCATATTTTCGTGTACGTTTCCTGCCTTCTCCTCTAGCCACCCCTTCCTTTAGTCGCTCTACCCCTCTTTTTGCCTCTCCTATTCTTCTTTTTTCGTCTGCTTTCGATCTCTATCTTTCTTTTGCATTTCGTTGTCTATTTTCTACTCTCTTTTTCTTTGGTTTTAATTCCAAAGTTTTAGCTTTGCCTTTCGTCATCTTAAAACATTCTTTCGTCGATATCTCCAACTTTCGATATCTTTTTTTTTCTACTGGCCATTCATGCATTTACGTGCTCTCCATATCATTTTTTTTTCTTTTTATTTAATCATACTTTTTCATCATTTTCTTGCATACATTTCCTATCTCTTCGATCTTTTTCTTTATCTTTTTATATTCTTTTTTGTCTTTTTTATTGTAAAATTTTTTAACTTTTTATTTCTTCTACTTTTAAAACCCCTCGTTCCTTATTTAATCGTTCTATTCTTCTTTTTCTTTTTTGAACACTTTTTCACTATTTCTTTCTATTCGCCTTTTTAACTTTTGCGTTTTATCGCTCATCCTCCATTCTCTCTTCCTTCGATTCTGAATGAAATATCCCGACAGTGATTAGCGAGGAATAGAATTTTTTTTATCTCTATTTTCTACCCATCATTTCATTGATTCATTCAAGTGAATCGTTTCACTTCATATCACCGTTTTATTTCCTTTATTTCTATCTAATTTATTTCTCTACCTTCCTCTAACCGTCGAATCTCACCATTCATCCTTGTACACGTTTCCTACCCTTTCAACCTTCCCCTTTAACCTCCTTATTCCTTTAACCCCTCTACCCCTATCTCTCTGTCTTCAGCAATTTCCCTATCCTTCTCCCTTCTTCGTCTCCTTTCACTATCCATCTTCTTTTGCCTCTTGCATTTCATCATCATCCTCCCTTCCTCTCTTTCTCTTCCTTTCAGCTTCAATCTGTCCTCGAGCGGAATATCCTAACGCGAGGAGCAGAATTTCTCTGTCTCTGTTTTCCATCACTTCACAAAGCTCCCGAGAATTGGATAGGATAGGATAGTAGAAAGGATAGGTATTATGGGCGGAGAGGTGAAATCAATCTCTTTGAATTGTCGCGTTTTATTCTTCGTGCGGCATTGTACCTTTTATACACGACAGCCGTATCAATTGCTTCGGGATAATATCGTGCTTTATTATTAAAGAGAGTCACGTGATTGAGTTGACGAAGACTTTGCTGCAGTAATTAATTGGAATATCGAAGCGGAATGTATTTTAACTCGACGCGAAGTTACTGTGAAGTTTTCATATGTATTTAATGATTGACCAACTGTTGACGAGTCTGTTTTTGAAATCCTATTGGTAAAATATAAAATATAAATTATAATAATAGTTGTAGTAAAGGGAAAATGAATTTTGCAAAATACATGTTCTTATTTAATCCATTATTTTAATTAAATTCGAAAAATTCGTATCGTCAAAAATATGAATTTAATATTTCAGTAGAGTGATGCGTTATTTTTAAATTGATTTCATTGCGTCCTGTCTCCTGTCGGTTTATTTAAAATGTTGAACTTTCACGCAACATCGATTATTCACCAATTAAGATTGATAAGGGTGATTAGAACGAAGTGCCGAGAGTGAAAGTAGAATATCTTCTCGCTTCGAGAATTCTAGATCGTTTCTTTCCAGGTTGGAAGCGCTCGACCTTGTCGACCGATACCGTTTGATAGCCTTGACACAACAAATATTCCACGTTTGCAACCGTGAACTATCATCTGCTGCGCTCAAAGGTGAATCTTTATTCACAAGGAAGGAAGAGGCAAGGGTTATACGCAAGAATTGTACGCGCGTGTATTCTGCACATGCACACCTCTCTCCACGAGCGCTTATTTGAAAGAAGTTAAAAAAGTGGAAGTTCTTTCCACTCGCGGGCGTAATTTTAAAAGAGTTAAGGTCAAGGCCTCGACAAGGCCTGGAAATTGAACGCGAGCGCAAAAGGGTTAATTTGCCGAAAAAAAATTTTTCCAATCCAGAGAGTCAAGGATGTTTTTGAGAGGGGGCTTTGAAAAAGCAATTTTCTGTAATCAGAAATACACGCGCATATTTAATTGGCCGGGGAATAAAAACAGAGTTTTTAACGGTTATCGAGCAAGTTTTTTTTATTAATAGATATCGGCGAAAATTTTTACCAGACGCTATTAAACTTGGTTTAATAGTTCTTGGCGATTTGCCATATTGCGGTTGGTAAAAAGTTAAGTCTTACGGTTAATGGAAGGCATAATTTTATTACAATGCCAATTCTCATTATTTGATTATCTATCTTTGAGTATCATTATCGAAGTTATATTTAGAAAAAGTAATATTGAGAATCTGAGGCTTCTACTTTCTAAATGATATTACATTCATAAAAATGATCTATTTTTATTTTTATTTTTTTTTTTTTTTATTATTTCTACCTTATTTTACTTTTGAGATTAGGTGACATCGTAAAATCTTCATAGATTATCTCGAAAAATTTGATTTTAATGAAAATGAAGATTTATTTTTTGACAGAAAATCTGTTTGGAAGATAAAATCATTCCCTAAATTTTTACCATTTTTTTCATGTCTTTGTAAAAATATATTTCAGGACAATTAGCGCAAAAGCTTAAAAAATAATAAATATTTTATAATTTAAAATCTTGCTCTACCACTACGAAGTTATATTTAAGAAAACAATAGAGAAAGTTTAATCTCATCCTCTCAAAATGATATTTCATTAATAAAAATAATCTATTTTTATTTTT